TTCAGATCTCTTTAGATCTGAAACGGCTTGAGTTTATTTGTTACCTTTCCTTTAAGACTCTACTATTTTTCTATTATTGTTAATCGATTTTTGTTTTTCCCTAAAAGCTATGGTTTCAATTTTTTTAAAGAAGTTTCTGCAAAAATGTTTTAAAATGTTTAAGTGTTTAACTCCGGTTTTCTTCCTTTACTTTTCGCGATTTTAATCCCTATGTCTTTATGCCCTAGGGTTTCTAATTATTCTACTGCTTGCTATAATGTTTGCCCGTTTACTTTGGTTGTCAATTAAACTAAGTAATTGATTTATTTTCCTAGGAAAATCCACTAGGCAGTGTGCTTAGGGCTAGTTTTTATATATATCTAAAACAGAAAACAAAATACAGTGTCAGGAGGTCTTAAACGATGAAAGAAATAGACTTTGGCATCTACATAGCTCCTATTACCAATATCGAGCAATGCACTCAATACTGATATTACATTATGTAAACTACTAATATAGAACAAATGATATATAAAAACTAGCCATGATATGTTTTCCCTCGTAAGTGCTTTAGCAATCGTAACTTTGTTGTTTCTTTGATCATCTTCCCAATGGTGTATGAGTTTTGAGTGTGGATTATCAATTTCACTTGTTGCATTCTTCAATTTGTGTATCAACAATTGTGCTTTTCTCCCACGATCAACCACTGCCTTTCCAGTATGTATTTTGTCCAGAATTGTATCGCATGCTCCTTCTTTTTTATCATTCCATTCCCATGTGACTTGTGCTTGTTCTTGAACCAACTACTCCAAAAAATCATATGCTTTATGTATCCATCTTGAAACACTGCCCATAGTTCGCAGAAAAGACAAAAAACTGGGCAGCCCGCTGTTGTATTCACCCTTTTTGTTCTTGCATTCCTGTGATCTCCAGCTCCACTGTTTGAAACCCAATGTATTGAGCCCTTGTTGTGTTATAGGACTACTAGAATGCATTGATATTACATCCCACAGTGCACTCATTCCTCTCAGATTTTCCCACAAAAAGCCCACTCTATACTTGGTCCAAAATCTGGGTACATTACTCCTCTTTTCCATACTTGTGCCTATCATGTGCACTCCTTCTAGGGAATGAGCATTAAATGCTAATACCACCCATAGAAATTGTACCAAATAATAGGGTATGATCACAGTAAAGTTCCCTGCAAAAAATAGAATAGTGTTAGAAAACACGACCACCATATTCCACTCCCTAAGGAGCTGAACATGATGATCTGCAGCAACATAATGTTCTGCAAACAAAATTGCCTGGCTCCCTGAATGACTTGTTGTGAAATTGGAGAGAGTTGAGTCCCTCCATCCATTGAATTTTTCCCACGTACACCACATGACTTCAGAGCTGCAACAGCTATGCCTATATGTTACAGCATTTCTGAACCTCTTGATTTGGTTTGATTAGCACCCCCTGAGGTTCCCAGCATTTCTGAACAGAAGATTATTCCTCCTTGCCTCTATGCATTTACCTACTCTTAATGTCCTTCCAGTGGAATGAGTGCCAAGCCCTAATACCACCAACTGAAATTCCATTAAAGAGTAGTGCATAGATGCTGAAAAACCTACAAAAAACAAACAGAATTAGTAAAAAATATCCCTATACTCTCCTCCAAAAGGATTTGAGTATAGTGATCAACTGAATATCCTCCTGAACTCTTCTTCTCCTTTGGTGATCCTCCTCCTCCAATTTCTAGTTCCTTGCAACTGTAACTCTTAAGTAGGGACATTGTAATATGAAGCTGCATTCCTTCATTCTCCTTATCTTCTTGAAACTTTCACTCTTAAATAGGGACATTGTAGTTATCACTATTAATAATCCTCCTCCCTTTCACATCCAATTCCCAGAAAGAGTGACACTCCAATGGGCCTATATCTAGAGCATAGTTAGCTATATGATCTGCTAATTGATTACCTTCCCTCAGTGTGTGTGACAGCTTCAGATTGCACCTCTCCATTAACTCCTTTATTTCCTCCAGATCTGCTGCAACTGACCATGGTACAGACCACTCACCTTGTTGCACCTTTTTAACCATCATCGAGTCTGTATGTAGGTCAATAAGAATATAATCTTTGCCCACACAATATTTCATAGCTTCTAATATGGCCCTCACTTCAGCTTCTGTATTCGTTCCCTCTTGTATCTCTTTTCCAGATGCATGAACAAGGTCTCCTTCCTTATTTCTTAGAACATAACCAAATGAACTCCTTCCTGGATTGCCTCTAGATGCACCATCTGTGTTCACTTTTATCTATCCTTGCTCAGGTAGTTCCCACAGTACTTTGGTATATTGTAAAGTAGGAGTGTACTGTTCCATCATACTTACTAAGTCTGGCCATTTGTGGGGGACATTTTGGAGGCTTGGTTTTCTAAACTTCACCAATTGCTGCAGCATAGTTGATATTTGATATATGGCTCTATTGACAGATACAGGATCCCCATATTTGTATCCATTCCTTCTTTTCCAAAGTTCCCAGATAATGATCGCAGGTAGTGCTTGGCAAATTGGCTGCAATCTTGGCACGATTTTCACAGTCCAGCACTTCACAATAGCCTGGTGCAGAGTTAAACCTTCTACATTTATTCCTGCAGCTGATAGAAAATATTTCCACACTTTTTTGGCAGCAAATGAAGTGAAAAACAGATGGGACATTGTCTCTTCTTGTGGCAGAACACAACACCAGCACTTTGATGCCATTGAATACCCCAGCCTCCTAAAAAAATCATCCAAAGGCAATTTGTTCTTCCAAACCGTCCACATGAAGAAAGACACATTGAATGGAAACCCCTTCACCCATATATTCCTGTATGCAGTACCTGGATCTCTTCTTCTTCTAACATACTCCCAGGCAGACCTTACACTAAAATCACCTCTTGGTTCTAGCATCCATACAGGTGTATCCAGAACCTCTTCATGCACTGGAGGCTTCACATTGTTCTGTATGTATTCAGCCAAATCTTCAGGTAATAGTTGATACAACAGAGTTATGTTCCATCTATTCCCCTGCACCACTTCATATACATTTTGTATTGATTCATCTCAAAAGAAATCTGGAGGAGTTACAAAATATAATGCACCCAAACCTGTCCAATTTTCAAACCAAAATAGTGATGAGCCCATTTTTGGTTGCCATGCAATTTGATGCTCAATGAGGTCCCTACATTCTAGCATCTTTCTCCATATATGTGAGCCATTCCTCCTCCAAGGTACAACCATAGCATTCATCTTTTTGCAGTATTTTTGGCACATAAATGAGCTCCATAGAGAAGGTTTTGTTCTAAAGTTCCACCATAGCTTGCAAAATAGTGCCTTAGACACATCATGTAATGATCTAAAACCTGCTCCCCCTTCTTCATGTGGTAAACATAGAGTATCCCAGGAAGCCCAATGTATACTCCCTCCATCGATTGAATTGCTCCAAAAATATCTAGCCATCAGTTTATGAATTCTGCTGATCACAAAACCAGGTGCATTAACTGCTGATAACAGATGTATAGGCTGACTTTGTAGAACATGGGAAATTAAAACTGCTCGACCTCCTATGGATAGTAGTTTCCCTTGCCATGATTGTATTTTAGCTAGGATTTTATTGATCAAACCTTGATAATATTCCAGCTTCCTCCTAGCATAAAAGATTGGGCATCCCAAGTGTGTGAAAGGAAATTCTTGTCTCCCTATTCCTGTTACTCTCTCTACCTTTCCCATCACATCTTCATCAGTCAGGTGATACAAATATACTGCCGACTTAGCCTTATTGATCAGTTGACCAGATGCTGCCTCATATGCTGTCAATACCTGTATGATTAGCCTTAGAGATGTTTCATCAGACGAAGAAAAAATTATTGTATCATCTGCATAGGCCAAGTGGTTGATCTTTGGGCTCCATTTGGGCAGGCCATATCCACAAAAGTATAAATTGCGATGAAGTGTATTTAATCCTCGTGACGAAGCTTCTGCAGCGATGATAAATAAAGCAGGTGAAAGAGGATCACCCTGCTTAACTCCCCTTGTTGATTTGAAGAAACCATATGGTTGCCCATTGAGAAGAACAGAATACCAATTGTTTGTTATGGTCCCAAATACTATGCCAATAAACCTCTCATCAAAGCCCATTTTTCTCATTAGTTTTGACAGAAATAGCCAAGATAGCCTATCGTAGGCCTTTGTCATGTCCAATTTGATAATCACATTAGGGCCTGCCTTAATTCTTAGTCTGATATCTGTGACTATTTCCTGAGTTAACAATATATTTTCTACAATACTTCTACCTTTAACAAATCCTGCCTGTTCATCTGAGATGATATTAGGAAGTAGACTTACCATTCTCTCGTGTATGACCCTTGAGAACACTTTGTTGATAAAGTTGTTGAGGCTTATTGGTCTCATGTCTGAGTATGTGTTTATCTCCTTCTTCTTAGGCAGCAGTACTAGGTTAGTATGAGTGATATATCTAGGAAGCTCATGTCCAGCAAAGAAAGCCTGCACCATTGCACTACGTCTGCACCAATTATATCCCAGCAATTGTGGAAAAAATGGCCATTGAAGCCATCAGGTTCTCCAGCACTATCTGCATTTAATCCAAACAATGCTAGCTTTATTTCCTCCTCTGTAGGTAGCCTTATCAAATTCTGGTTCTGATCCCTAGTGATCATAGTAGGCACATGCTCAATTATCTCAAAGTCAGTAGGGACCTTCTTCTCATGGAACTGAGTTTGAAAGAAATTTATTGCTTCCTCAGCCATTCCTTCAGTATCTTCAATCCATACCCCTGTAGAGTTTTGGATTCTTTTCAGTTGCAACCTCTTTCTTTTCCCAGTAACATGAGCATGGAAAAATTTGGTATTCCTGTCCCCTTCATTGAACCAAGTCATTCCTGACTTTTTCTTGCAAAATTGTTCCTCCAAAGCCAAATATTTGAACATCTCTGCCTGAACTTTCCGCAGCCTTTCTCTGTTTTGCATAGTAGGATTCAGTTCAAATTGAGCCTCATGAACCCTGACAATGCCTTTTTCAGCTTCTTGAGTTTGTAATTGAACATGGCAAATAGATTTGCCTGAAAGTCTGCCTGCCAGTTTTCCTTAACCACTGCTTTAAAAGTATCATGTTTTGTCCAAAATGATAAGAATCTGAAGCTCTTCTTGATCTGTACTGCATTGGTGCTATAGGTGATCAGCAATGGATAATGGTCAGAACCAATTTTAGGTAGATGAGTGATATCTAGCCCAGGCCATATCTGCTGCATCTCCATATTTGTAAACACTCTATCCAATCTCTTGAAAATACAGTCTTCTTTAGCTCTTCCATTCCACCAAGTATATATGCATCCTTTAAATCCCATATCAGTCAAATTACAAGTGTTCATGCAATGCCTAAAGTCATCTACCTCATTTAATGAAGCTGGGAGGCCTCCAAATTTCTCTTCCTCATCCCATATAACATTAAAATCACCCCCCTACCATCCATGGGATAGTCATGTCACTGGCCAGTTAATACAATGAGTCCCACAGCTCAATCCTTTCAATATGATCACACTTAGCATAAACTAATGTGACCATGAATTCTTTCTCTTCTTCTATATCATATAGCCTCAGAGTAAGCTGCTGCACTGCATCAATTACAACTGTTACATCATATTTCCCATCTATGAAAGCCCAAATCTTATTAGAGGTGTTAACAATAGCTTGTTCAAAGTCAATTTGTCTTCTGTATCTCTCCAATTTTCTTGACTGCTGTTTTGGTTCCATGAGCCCAATGAACTCAAAGTGGTATTTTCTATGCATTGTGATGAGCCTTTCAAAGGCTCTTTCTGTATTTACTGATCTAATATTCCATACTAGAGCATGCATCTCTAATAGATGGTTTTAGAAACAGTCCTCCTTGTTTGGACCCCAATTGGTTGCACGTTGGGGACCTCTTTCACCTGCTTCTTTCTTCCTCTACCAGCTGATTTTCCTTTCTCCATAAACCTAGGAGATATATCTCCTTGCCTGGCAACATTCCTGAAGTTTTGACAAGTCGATTCTACATCCAAGTCTCTTCCCTTACCTATTGCATCCTCTTCTATTTCCTTCAGTTGATCTGCTGTTACAATCTGATTTATGGTGGAATTCATCACCATGAGTCTGTCTGCATTTATCTTGTTCACCTACTGTTGTTCCTCATCTCCAGTAGGTTTTACAAGTTCCAATTGTTCCTCCTCTACTCTAGCAATACCAGTATCTAAGTGTTTATCTCCTCCACCGAGATCACCAGGATCCAATTGTTCCCTAGCTCCACCAGTATCACTAGGATCCAGTTGTTCTACAATAACTAGTTCCAAATCTGTAACTTTTGGATTGGAAGTATTAGGATTAGGTATGGGATTTAATAAAATAACTTTGTTAGTACTGGGATCATTAACTATATTTACAGGTTTAGTACTTGAACTCCCAATCTCAACCAAGGCATAAGTCTGATTTGTTGATTTCTCCATTGTCTGCTTCTCACCCTTGTTGTTCTTACCATTAACACTGATTTCTTCCCCTTGTGGATCATCAACTTCCATTGTTGCATTATCCTCCTCCTCATATCCTTCAGACAAGTCACCTTCATCTGGATCCTCTTCCCTCTGATCATACCATAATCTTTCACCTGTCCAGTCTACCTTCTGCAATAATATTTGCTACTCAGCTATTGCTTCAGATTGAAAAGTCTGTGAAGGTATGTCATGGCATGATTGATTTAATGTAACCTTGTTAGCTACAAAATCTCTGTTCACCCATTCAACTATGGTTTCCTTAGTCTTTTGTTAATCTTTCCCTGCTGTAGGATTGTCTTCTTTAGTACCGGTAATTCCCTTTGTCTTTCCATTATCAGTTGATCTAGGAGTGAAATTAGGTGTTGCAGCATTTAAAGTTCTCCTAGTTTCCTTAGGGACAGTAAATTGAGATTGAACATTGCTTGCAGCCACTAAAGCTAACTGATTTTCTCCATCTGCCACACTTTCCTCATTCTCCACGATAGCAAATTGGTTGGCAGTTTGAATCTGCTGATTATTTGTGATATTAGCTAGAACAATTTCCTTTCCTACACCACCTGATCCTTTTTGTTGAGTTTTCCCCACACCTGCAGGGACTATTTCTTTCCCTGTGCCAACTATACCTTGTTGTACATTCTCAGTACCAGCTGGACCAATTTCCTTTGTAGTTTGGCTTTGATCTGCAGCCTATTTTGCCCATTCCTCACACGGTTGTCCCTAACCTCTTTCCATTGTTCTCCTACATTCCCAACCACTTTCCCACTAGATAGGATCATGATTGGCTTATTTTGAGAGTTCTGAACCTTACCTCTTGCATTATCACCTTGTTTCTCCCTATCATATTCCACAAACAACTCAGGGTGTAATCTCCAACATGATTCTTCATCATGACCTTGTAATTTGCACTCCTTGCAATATTTAGGGATATAGTCATATTGGATCTTCACCCACTTAGTTCGAACTGTACCATTAACTTCATCTTCAATATCCATTCGAACTCTCTTAGGTAATTCCTCCAGTAGATCCACCTGGACCTTAACTCTTGCACAACTTGGCCTAGTTTTGTTGACAGTAGCCAAGTCTAAGTGTAAAGGTGTTCCAACAGCTGATGCCAAGGAGAAGAAACATTCCTTTACAAAATACGTAGGCAACAAGTTTGGAAAAGAGATCCATGCCATCACCTTAGATGTTTCTTCTCCGACTTTAAACTTGGTATCACAAATTAAAGGTCGTACTTGATATTGGTATCTATCCTTTGCCTCCAAATAATATGCACCTTTAGAAGTAAAATTTGCAAAATCCTCCAGTAAAGTGAATCTAATCAATATATGTCGATCTCTAAACAATCCAATACTGCATTCACCTTTGATTCCACACTGAACTGGGAGAATTCTGCGTATCTCGTTCAATTCTGGCCATCCATAGAAAAATATCCCAAGAACTGCATATTGTAATCCCTCCATGATATTCATCCTTTGTACTTCTGCTTCCGTCCACTTGATCATTGGTTGTCCATTGAGAAAAGTAATAGGTTTAATAGGAATAGGCTCGATAGGTTTTGAAGTAGAACTCGACGTCTACATGGCATTATTTAATGTTGTTGGTTTCATAATTTTAGAGTAATCCAACGGACGGGGAGTGTTGTTGGTGGTTGTAGAAGGGTGGGCGATGGTGGTGGGAGGCTGACCAGTCGGTAAAGATGGCTGGCCGCCGTCCAGATTGGCCATGGCAGCTCTCACGTGAAAAGTCGCCGGAAATCGCCTATTCTAGAGAGAAAATGAGCTAGGGCTATAGCCAGGAGACATTAGGGTTTGAAATTATCTCTTCTTTTACCCATTTTTTCCTTATATATATGATTCGTAATCGGTACCGCATTCCTTAATTGTATCACTGGCCTGATTTCTGGGCCTTGATTGTTATGACCGACCTTTGAGTGATTTCTGGACTTATTACTTACCTATTAAACCTCAATCTTTTCTGTTAATTGATTTCGTATAAGATTCTCCTTAATCTAAGTAATAATTCCGTTATTCTGTCCTATTAAGTGATTTTGTGTTTAACCCTTATTGATTGATTGACTGATTTCTTTACCTTATTTGTGTATCATTGATTCTCCTACCTTATTTAGTTTTACTCTACTACATGTTATAAAACTCTTCATTTTTCTGATTTTCAATAACACGCTGAAACATATAAGCTCACACCTACACTTACACACTTGCACTCATACAACTTTAGTTCTTTCTATCACTATGATTTGCTTCATTGTCTAGCCGGCTGAAAGCCAAGGCTAGACTCTTGGATCCCACCTGCCTTCACCTTCCTATTTGCTATCTCCTTAACTGGTCTGCCTCAATTTTTGTTACCATGTTCTATTCTATATGCTATATGGTCAGTTTACTATAGACATCAATATGCTTCTATTTTAATATTTGTTTCCTGATCAACTCTTTCTCAACTACCATGCTGTAATTCTTATTTATGTGACTTGTATGACTAGCTTATTTTGAACCTCGTTATATTCTATTTACTATATGTTTCCAACTTACTATCCACTAGTATGTTGTAGCCCTTGTTATCTCTTTGTTCTATATGTCTGTGTCGTTAAGCGCTTCAAATTCTAACATGCTTCTGCTGGACATATGGTTCATGTTCATATTCTTTTATCTTGCTCTGTTCATAGTAATTTCAGCATGTTTCTCTGCTTAGTACATGTCTATACAATTCCACCTAGTAATAATTAGTAAGCTAAGTAACCTTCAATAATGTGAGACTTTGTTTGGGTACTGCAAATATGTGTAGGCAGCTCTGTCTATAATTCAAGTGTCCCTGCTCTTGTTGTGATTGTTTAATTATTGGCATCTATGCTTGAACCAATCTGCTAAATGAGGTTTCTGTTCTGTTTGTAGTCTTTGAACCTGTTTGCCCCAAAAAATCAAACTGTTTTTCTAAAACTATCCCATGCCCCTTATACACTATTTTTTAAACTTCTACTCTTAGTTATCTAGGATCCTACCACCCCCAGTGTAAGCATTGCCTAGGGTCTATGAGACTCCTATGAACTCTGACACATTGGGGCTGGTCTTCCAACCTGTTACAAAACTATTTCCTTTGAAAGGTTCTGGTGTGAGCATTGCCCGGGGTCCCTAAGTCCCTTGGGAGCTTTGACACATCAGAAGCCTATTTGTGTATTATGGATGGACTAGTTGTGTACATCAGATTTGCTTTCTTGAAGGTCATTCATCCATATTGGTCTGTAATAGTGTAACAGTTCTTGTAATAAACATATATGGGGTTATTAGTAAAAGATGGGGGAAGGATTTTTTTATATATCTTTGTTCAAACTCGAGTAGAAATCCTGCCTATAGGTTATTGTGTTAATATTAATACTCACCTAGAAATCATGCCTATAGGATCTTGTCTCACCACTTATAATCCAGAATTCTTATACTCTGGCATACTAGAAATCCTGACTATAGTTTTTTAATTCTGCATAAAGAATCCATGTTCTACGCATATTATCAATCTCAATGTGCATTAGAGATCATGTATATAGGAACTTCTTTGTGAAAATTATTAAACTTGTCTAGCAATTTGTTAACGTCTCTGCCCACATAGATTCCATACCTATAGGAGATATATAAAATATCAGTTTCTGCAATTTAGATATCATGCCTATAGGGGATATAAAAATCAGTTTTGCACTTGGATATCATGTCTATAACAAATAAATACAAAATCAGTTTTGCACTTAGATATCATGCCTATAGAAAATAAATATATAAAAAATCAGTTTTGCACTTAGATATCATGTCTATAGGAAATAAATACTCATCAGTTTGAGCACTTAGAAATCATGCTTATAGGGGTAATTTATAAAAAACCATGCTTGTAGGATCTAAAAGATAAAATCTGCCTATCAGTGACCCGTTTATAAACTGTAGTCTCTAAGTAACAGATTAGATACTATGTCTATAGGATTCTGCCTGGTTGTCCCTTAGGCAAACTGACAGGGTAATTAAAGAAGTCTGGGACTAAAATTGTGATTTCTTGCTGCTTGAAAATGTGCTCAGATACAGAGTGTTAATAAACCAGTAGGAAAACTGATAGGAATCATTGCTCGCTTTAATAAAGAGGTTATATATTATGTTCATGCTCATGTAGATATCCTGCCTTTAGGATCCTAAACTATAAAATTTGTTTGTTTGAATTGCGTGCATTGGTTGGCTACTTATGGAGGTTAACATGAGCCTTTATCTGCTTCTTATGTGACAGTCCTAGCTGAACCTTTGTTTGTGGCTTAGCTTTCTCATTTTTAAGCAACATAGG